GTCATCATGCTGGAGCATCTCCACGATGCATGGCAGGAAGGCCCTCATTTTTCTTTCCTGTATCACAGACAAAGTTTCCCTTTGGCCAAGGCCAAGCCAACAGCCCCACCCACCGCCCCAGCACTCAGCGGCCAACACGGCTCCCCTTGACGATGCTCTGCTCACCGTGTTACGTCTCTCTGACTGTTTGACGAGGACTCCAAGGAATAGAGAGGGGGTCACCAGGCTTGGATGTCTCTCATTGCTCTCAACCTGGGACTCGTCATCAACATCCTCCACGTGCAGCTCACTGGGGGCCGTCACCTGAAGCAAAGACAGGAACAGGCTGCCCAGGGAGTTTGTGGAGTCTGCTTCTCTGGAGATATTCAAGATCCACTTAGACAAGTTCCTGTGCAGCCTGCTATAGGTGACACTGCTTCGGCAGGAGGGTTGGACTAGATGACCCATAGAGGTCCCTTCCAACCCCTACCATTCTGTGATTCTGTGAAAGACAGCAGTGAGATACCGGCAGAGGCTGCAGGGCTCGCTGAGGGTGATCAAGGTCTCTGCTGGTAACTCACAACCAAGTGATGGCTACAGCTGGATGCCACAGAGGAGACAAGCCTGCAACGCAACTTGTGCTCGAGCCAGGCGAGCAACTGCTTGAAGATCTTATTCAAAGGCTGGAGAAGCATCACCTCCCACACGGCCACGTTAGCGCTGCAAGGCAGGATGCTCTGTCAGCAGGGCTGCCTCGGCCAAGGCAGCATGGGCTGGGTCAGCCCTGCAGGACATGGTGGGATGGAGGGGCCCTGCTCATCAGGGAGCAAGCCCTCATGGCTTTTGGGGTGAGTACCTCTGTGCTGGTGAAGAGACCTGCAGGAGGCTAGTGAGCACTGTGATGGGCTTCCGGTTGGTGAGCAGGAGAAGCAGTGACTCCACGCTTTGGCGGGCTGACTCCGTGTTGATGCGTTCCAGATTTTCGCGGATGCATCTAATGATCTTTGGCACCTGGAGGAGACACAGTTGAGGATGGTGCTGCCACTGGAGTGCAGCCGCTTCCTCGGCTGGCCCTCTCAGCCCCCCTTG